CTTGTTTTCAGCATGTGTAGTCTAAATATTTTTTGGGGTGGGATTTTGTGTTAGAAAGCTGGCTGTTTGTTCTTAGGATCTGTCTGCAGTGAGTGGACAGTTCAGTTAGGCTTTTGGTCCCTTCAGTTCCAGGATGAAGAGGTTGGAACACATATCACTCACCAGCCAATGCACTGAATGGTACCTGCTGTCGTTCCCTCCGCTTGCAGGCAGGAGGACTGAAGCCCAGGGAATGCCTGATCTCCAGACAATGTGTGGAGTCCAGAGCAGAAGACCAACCTCCCAGGTCTACTTTGTGGGCACCAGACACTGAGCAACATGCCTGCTGACACTGTGAAGAGATTTGAAACTGAGAATGTGTCTGCTTTGTCCCACTTACATTAACTGGGCTAATGAAATAAGGGAAAGAAGTTCTCTTTAATCATGGTTATTTCAGTTCCTATTAATACTGCTACTTGACTCATTTTGGCTATACTACAGTAGAAATGATACTTATTTATCCTATCTGGGCTAGATAAATCCTATACTAGTGAGATTTTTGCAATGTATTCAGTATCTTAGTTAAAATAGTATAGAATAATGACATACTGCTGCAATTTAGTAATGGAGAGACCACATGATATGCTCTTCTGGTTCAGTCAGTAGGCAAGCCTTGATAGTACAGATCTTCTGAAAACAGGTTCAGGAAGCATAGCGAAGGAAAAAAAGAAGGAAATTGTGACCTGTTGGAAGTGATGAGAAGCTTCCAGGGAGTTTTGGAGAGAGGATGTGATCTGATTTTGCTAAACTTCTGGTCTAGTCTGGATATGATTTATGATGGTAACACCCTTATTCTGCTGTTAAATGAGCAATAGGATTTATCTTTTTATTGGAGATCACTGTTCAGGTTAGCTGGGAGATCTGTTCCCTCCCCATATTACTTGTGTGGGAAACAGAAATCTTGTAACAGAAGAATTTTCAGTCTAGCCAAAGATATAAAAAGTAAAGAGGCTGAAAGCAGGACGTGAGGCAAATTCTGAACAGAAGCAAGCAAATATTTTAAGTGGCAGCAGTTAGTGAACTATGGGAACAATTTGCAAAGGCTGGCAGATTCTCTGTTATTATCAGTTCAGGAATGGAGCTTAGGGGGAAAAAATCCAAAGAAACTCTTTACTCCTAAGAGGAATTAATTCAGGGATGCTGAAGGTCAGAGCAGATAATCCCAGTGGTCCCACCTGGCCTGACCTGAGGATGTCTTTGAAGTATCTCTCCAAAGCAGTCTGAAAGTGTATCTTCCTGTTACCTGTAGCATATCAGTATAAAGAAATGAAAACCAGGGGAGAAAGCCAGGATACTTTAGCTGAGATAGAGGGTTTTTTTGTAAATCAGTCTACTGAACAAGTGATTAGCTCATTTTAGCAGTTCTGTATGTCAAAATGGACATCCTATTTTTCTGATTTTTAATCCTAATAAGGAGACCAGCTTCAAATACCAAGGTAAAATGGAAATGCCTCTGGGAGTTTTTTTCCTGTCTTACTTTTGTGAATAAAAATATAGGTTAGCAGTAAAACCAAACCCAGAGAAATGATGTTCAGAAAACCATCAGCCTGTTAAAAATACAGGAGACAAACATCATATTACAGTAGTAGACTATTAGCTCTATTAGAGTTTTCTTCACCATGTTAAAGGTAGAGTAGAATCATACTATCTAGACACACAGATTTTGTTTCAAAGTCAGTGCCACTGCTTCATAAAAAGAGATGATATTTCCTGTTCCTAGTTGTATTTATGGCTAATACTCTTTCATGACTATAAGGAAATCTAAACAAAAATCAACATTGAACTGCCTGTTTGAGATGAGATAATTAGAATGCATATGGAAGCTACAGTTTCTTTATAGGATACAAAATTAAATGGGGGATGTGTTTTCCTCTGAAACTTCACAATGTATGTATATTTTGATGGTGTATCTCACAGTGTCTTCTGGTATGCTGCAACGTATTAAAAACAAAATGTTTTGATGCTAAAGCAGTTTGTCCTGTAAGAATACAGATGCTTTCCCAAAGTGATGTATGAATAACCACGAACCAAGTTTTTCTGAACATGGTACCTCTGATTATATGAATAATCTTTTCAGATTCCTTTTGGTTGCATCACACTCTGGAAACCTTGGAAGCAGCAAGGTACAGGGCTGTTTCGCAAAGAGAACTGAAGTATACACCTCTGTAGTTTGTCAAATGAGGATGTATTTTTCTCCACTGGGCTCTTGATAGGAGCTCGGATCCTCTGCATAGGCTAGTGAGGAAGGGAGAACTGACACTGCTCTTTGTGTCATGTTGTCTTTGCTCAGTTTTTCATGTGGTTGAATGCTGGAAGTTTTTATAGCTCAGAGTAACCACAGATGAGAGCTACAGGCAGGATTGTGAGGCTGACGCACTCCTGCGGCACAGATCCAGTTGCAGAGGAAGACAAAGGTCCTGTGGTTTTCTTGGGGAGTAGTCAGATGGCTTCTGTTGTGGCAGATGCTCTGAGCATCCATCTTAAACAACAAGGCATAATTTAATAGGATTTTTAATGTACCTAATGCTCTTGTTTCAGTTTACAGACTTGAATCAAATCACTTGGGGGAGGAGAAGATGCTACTTTTTGGGCTAAGAATTTTTAGGGCATTTTGTTTAAATTTATGCAGCTGGCACATCCACAGCTGATAACTCATGCAGATGTCATGTTGTAGAATTGCAAGGCTTCTGGCTAAAAAAACCCACCCTATAATTTATTTCATTTCAACATCTTAATTAGTTTTATAAAAATAAAAAGGAGGGATTAGGAAATGTGAATTCTTATGGTGTGAACAGTAAAATATTACGGATCTGATTAAATATGAGTTGCAGTTAAACTTGTGCCCAGTGTGCAGACTGCTGGAAGACAGCAGATGAGAATAGGTACATGTAGATACATGCGTACCGGTGCGTGGCCTGGGTCTAGCATTGGAGCTCTCTGCTACTGTGAAACTGCTAGAAGAATGGTTGCCGGCACAGACAGCTTTGGACAGGTCTTACTTACAGTCTCACAAACAGTTCATGGCCATGATTTAGATGTTACAGCATGCCAGGGATCATTCCCAATGTACAGTTCACGTGCAGCCACTCTGAGAAGGTGCCGTTTTAACAGACTTGGCCAGATGATGCCATTTGGCCTCAGGGCCAGAGGGTTGGCCCAGGCACTATGTAGTTTGCTAGTTGCTCTGACCAATGCAGGAGGGAATTCACGTTGATTTTAGCAGTACTCCACTATAAGAAAATGACCTCTCCCACACATCATTTTAGACGTCTCATTTCTGTTTGAACAAATACTTAATATTCGTCTTAAGAAAATCTCAGTCTCTGTCTCTTTGGGGCCTCTCTTGCAGCTTTCTTTTTTTTTTTTTGGCAAAAGACGGAGGAAAATATTTTCGTCTTTCACTTCTACATTGACAACAGAATTTGTTTTTGCAATTTTTAGGGAGACAGTGAATGTCATGTTGTCTTGGGTACCAGCAGTGATGATGATGCAGTAATTTTGCTGTGGTTGATAATACATTATTTGCACACAATTTTAGGACCTGCCTTCTGTATGAAAAAGTGATCCTGTCACATATGCCTAAAAAACCCCATCAGTATATGTAAGAAAAGGAAAAAGAATAAGACACTGAGACACAAACTTACTATGCATCGTCCTTCTTAAGAAAGACAGTAATCATTTAAGAACTTTGTCTTTGCAGTTTCTTGGGATGGCTACCCCCTTATTTCAAGGAAACAATGATTCCATGAGCATTACCTCCAAAAGTTATGTATTTTCGTGATGCATTCAGGTAGACAGAATGGATTGTGTGACAAGAACAACTAGCACATGCACTTTAAAAATTCTCTGATTTCTAAATAGTATCTAGGTCATATGATACCCACAGGCATGATTCATCCACCTGGGCTTTATGCCAGTCAGCAACTGCGTGGATCTGACACTCCAGGAATACTGTAAAATTATTAAAGCTCTATTTTTTTTTTTTTCTTCAAATAACACTGTTGATGATAATGGTAAAGAATACAGAATATTATTTATAGTTCCTTTCTGAAAGAATTCATTTCATTAAGTAGATGCAAAAAGTACAGTATGGACTAAAGGGAATGCAGAGCAGACCTAGCAGGCCCAGGTAGCCTTCCTTGACCCTACAGACTTTCATTTCATAGATTGCTATCTTGATATAAAGTCCTGTTTGAGGCAGAAGTAGTCTTCACCTGAGTCTATCTGTTTGAAGCCCAGCTAGCTGTTAAGGGTTGATCTTACTTGGCTACAATTTGCTAAAAACTGCCAGTGTTCTGCTCCTGTTAGGTTTTTGTATAAAGGTCATAATCTCTTTGAGGGGCAGAAACACCATACATTTATGCTTTTTTTTTTTTTTTTTTTTTTGCAATGAAGTTAATCTTCAAGAGATGAGATCATGCTTATTTTTAGGCATGTGTATTATGCAGACAGACACTCTTAATTAAAGATTCAGCAAGCCTTGTTCAGGGAACCATCAAGCTGCATTTTAAAAAGATGTGTAGGTGTCTAGGAAAACAAAAATGTGTGTAGCTGCATTGGGTTTTTTCTAGATGTACCAACATGTTGATCTCAATGAACACTTATCGGAGTAGACTCTTCTGGGGCTTGCCAGGTTGCTTACCTTGCATTTTGACCTTGCATAATAACTCTGAAAACGAGCTACCTCTTTTAACGCCTACTTCCAAAGGGTCCCACACAGATTATTTTTTTTAAAGCATCTTTAGTGAGTAAAGGCTAAAATTCCTACAGCTGAACGAAAGAGAGAGCCTTCTAGAAATGAGGTGAGGAAGTATAACCTTTGCCAACTTGTAAAGAAACAACAGTGTTTAACTTCTATGAACTTAGAGCTGAAAAAAATATTTTCTTTCTCTTCCTGAGTTTGTGACTACCCATCCCATGAAAGTAGGATGGGAGAGGAGGAAAGTTCTCAGGTTTGTAAGCATGTCTGGGTTATGGTGGACTTGGTCTGATTATTGGGTTTTTTTCCCTTTCTTTCATCCAGATAAAGAAGAGGCAACAAGATGTGGTGAGGTTTCTGGAAGCCAATCGCATAGAGTTTGAAGAAGTGGATATCACAATGTCAGAGGAGAAAAGACAATGGATGTATAAAAATATTCCTGAGGATAGGCAGCCCGCGCAAGGCAATCCACTGCCACCACAGATATTCAGTGATGATCGGTACTGTGGAGTAAGTAGCTGTTATGGTTGTCAATGGACAATATATTGATATACCCTGTTGGCCATTAGAAAAACTGGGACTTGCTGTTGAGCTTTCTCTAGTAATACCTGAATTAATGGTGACAGTTTGGGCGGTAGGAGGAGGTGATGATCATACAGTGAAAATTCAGATCATTCATCTGTAAATCCTAAAGTTGTCTTCAGCTGGTGGATTCCCTCAAATGTAAGAATTTGTAATGTCACGTGCTTCATGTACAACCTGTTGATGGTAAAGTTCCTTGTGAAACCCCACTGTAAGCTGGGGATTTATGGTTTTCTTGCTACTTGGTCTAGTCCAAGCATAAAAATGCAGAAGGAAATCTTTGGCACAGTAAAAGGGAACATTGGCTAGATTGAGTTATATTGTCATTGTAATTAATCATCAAATCATAGAATGATATAGAATGGTTTGGGTTGGAAGGGACCTTTAAGATCATCTAGTTCCAACCCCACTCCCATGGGCAGGGACACCCTTCACTAGACCAGGTTGCCCAAAGCCCCATCCAACCTGGCCTTGAACGCTTCCAGGGAGGGGGCATCCACAGCTTCTCTGGACAACCTGTTCCAGTGTCTGACCACCCTGACAGTAAAGAATTTCTTCCTAATACCTAATCTAAATCTACTCTTCTTCATCTTAAGGCCATTACCCCTTGTCCTATCCCTACAAACCCTTGTAAACAGTCCCTCTCCAGCTTTCTTGTAGGTCCCCTTTAGCTACTGGAAGGCTGCAATAAGATATCTCTGGAGCGTTCTCTTCTCCAGGCTGAACAACCCCAACTCTCTCAGCCTGTCCTCATAGGAGAGGTGCTCCAGCCCTCTGATCATCTTCATGGCCCTCCTCTGGACTCGCTCCAACAGTTAACGCTCCTTCTCTGCTGCTGTCATAGTGTAAATTTCATTTATGCTCAGAGAGCCTTTATGCAATCAAAGTCTCTAGGATAAATGAAAACAATTTGCTTTTTGAATTGTAGAACAGTTTTATTTTTCCCTAAAGTAAAGCAGCTTGAGACTTGTGTTCTGCTGAAAGACTGCTAAGCACGAGAGCCTGTGAATCTGACAACAGATTGATGGGTGGACTGGTTTCTCTCATGATGTAAGCTGCAATAACTTCTCCATCCACTAGTGCATGCTGAAGCGGTAGCCTTTGGTACGTTAAGAATGGCACCATATGAATGGTTTACTCTCCTGCTTAGCCAGCATGGTGTTCTTGTAGCTCTGAGTCTTGGGAGCATCTTCCCAGAACTTTTCCTCACCTTTGAACAAAAATGTAAAAAAATCCCAGCTGGGCCCTCTTTGCCCTGCCGCATCTTCTCATACTTCAACCATGTGACTTGTACTTCCTTTAGGAGGCGGGTTTGAGGTACCTGTTAGACTAGCTGATGAGAGAAAGGGAGGTTTGATGTGCCTCCCTGGCTGCATCAGGAAGTGATAGGTTAAGGTTTGTCTGTGACTTCAGCAGGGGGAAGAAAACGGGAAG